CAGTTTTCAAGTCTGTTTCATAGTCTTGATTTGTCCATAAAAGTTCGGAAATCTCCAAAATTTCGATTTCAATGAAAGACATCCGAGGTAAATTTAACTAAACCTGATATTGTATTGGATTATTTGTAGTTATCTTTCGTTTTATAAGTAAAATTAATCAGGAATTTAAAGCTTAAAAAATGTCGGCCATGGAAAACTTTGTCGAAGAATCTTCCAAGAAAAAACTAGCCCCTGGGGGGTGGTGAGTTGTGTCCAAAATTCATATAAGTGGGATCGGGAGAGTAATTGTCGCGCAAAGAAAAAGATGTAGTGCATTTTGATTCGTTTTCAGTGCATGTCTTTTTATTATGGGAGACATTATCTTAATATTGAATTTAAAAAATTGAAGATTTTTTTTCCGATTTTAATTTTATCTTTTACATTCATTCAAATTGGGCTCCCTGTGACTTGTGTATCGGGAGCTCCGCATTTAGGCAGTGCCTAAATATATTTAATACTATATCATTTATGTTACAGATTTAATATGGGAGCAATGCACAGATGATCTTTTTGAGCCAGAAGTAAATGGAATGGTTCTGATCAACCATTCGTTCCGCTTGCTTAAAGCAGAAATGCCGATTCTTTGTTTATTTGTATGTAAATCGAACAAAGACTGTGTTTCGTTCAATATTGCTCCTTCCAATGAAACCGAAGGATGGTTTTCTTGTGAGCTTAATCAGGCCGACAGATATATTGCCTCACAAGATTTTCGAGAAAGAAAAGGATTCTCGTACAGAGGGATAAAGGTTAGTTACAACTGGTTATTTTTGTATTGCATACTAAGATTTCCGGCTGATCCTTGCACAAATTTTCGAGATTTATTGAACAAAAAAAAGATTGTTCATGTGTGTATACGTCGTCGCATATCAAATCACAATTAAGTYATTTAACTCATTCTCAGCTTAGCGCGAGCCAAAGCTAAGTCTGTTATCATTATGTATATAGTATATATTACCACGAACAATCCTGGAAGCTCCCTCTTTCGGTTTTCACGATATATTTTACTACTAGTGTAGATAGCTTTGTCAGTTCGTATTGATAACATGATACTTTTTGTCTATAGAATCCATGTTTGAATAACGGTCTTTGCGAAGGAAACAAGACTTGTACACGGCTAGGGTACGACCTAACGAAGTACACTTGTCTCTGCCCAAATGGATATTTTGGCCAGAACTGTG